TATAGGTGCAACTACTTAGAACTATAAGTGCACCTAAGTATTGATGCTCAGTGTAAATTTTTACTTGCACCTATAATACATTTTACATGCACTTGTAATACATTTTACTTGCACTTCGATGTTCAATTATTTACGAAAATGCCACCGCATTTTTTTAAAAAATCAGTGTTTCTCATCCATTAGATCTGGACACGTGGACGAACAGAATCCATTCTTATTTCGCGCCTGGGCGAGCCGTTCGCACCCGAATGCAACTCTATATATATATATATATATATATATATATATATATATATATATATATATATATATATATATATATATATATATATATATATATATATACATACCTATGTTTTACTTGAGTGCATGTCACCATACAAAGAGTAAAAAAGGATACACATATATATTTCATGCATACTGCATGCATAACCACACCAAATCAACAAAGCAGATGTCAGTCGATTTGATGGACACCGAAAGCATTGATTCGTTTAAAACTAACGATTCGTTAACATCAACGAATCATGAAACTTCGGTTCCAAATCATTTTTCCCAACTTACTTTCTACCAAACTAAAATAAAATTTATAACTCCACAACTCCAAATATTATTTAAGCTTTAATGGTAGTTCATCTGAAACATTAATCTTCATTACTATATAAATTTCCAACATTCCTCCTCCATTTATATAGTAAAGATTAATACTTTACCAAGATAAATCCAAAACTCATGCATAAATGAAAGTGTCTTAGAGATTGAACTTTCACATAGTGTTATATGCGTTACATTAATTCGGATTGCAGTGATGGACGAACCTTGAATCACGCAGTCTCTTTGAAGAAACGTAGATATAACACACACAAGTTTTACAGTCATTACAACTCACTGTAACTTGACACTATTATGGCCATGTGTCTGTATCCATTAATGAGCACATACCAAGTAAAGCCCAAACTTGTTTGAAGCGGCCACACTTCATGCTCACAGAGGCTAATCTTTTAACTCATGCAATGCATCTTGCATTTTTTCAAAAGATCAGTTAAGAGTAAAAACTCATCCCTACAACAATGCAGAACCAAGCATCACCTTTTCTTTGGGTACAATTTTAATTAAACTTTTGATGCTTGCAAATCACAAAATGAAGTACTCATCTACATTGAACTCAAGGTCTAACATAATAACTTAGATGTGAGTTGAGCTTTCCTTCACTTGCAATTTTAATTTATGCTTTCCGTATCCCTTCCGTATCCCTTCCGATGAACCATGTCCCTTGCAAGTACTCTTGCAAACAGATCCGTTAAAACCGGGACTGTACCAAGTCTAGTGCTACAACACTATTACCTAGGATTTTCCACATAGCTAAATCTCAAGCCCATGTGCCTTCACTTGCCATTATAAACACTTGTTTATATGATATGGTCAGTGTAGTAGCATTGTCATAATGTACTAAACTGGTGACATCGGTTTTGGTCAAACTGGAATCTAAATAATCAAATTCCTTAGCCAATTAACTTCTTGCATGTCAAAGCCAACGTAAGAAATTCATTTGCCGTGGTCGAAAAAACAACTTTTCTTTTAGAAACCCATAAAACAACACCTCCTCCAAGCAGAAATATCCATCTACTAATTGAGGAACAAATTTCATGATTAGACATTCAACTGACATTAGAATATCTTTCCAGGATGGAAATTTCTATTAAATATACTAAACCATAATTAATGGTTTTACTCAAGTATATCAAAATTTCTTTTAATCTCATCAACTTAGCCAACTGAACATGATGATAGATAGAATTTTAATATTCTATTAATGAACCGGTGAAATAAAATATTCAATTGATTATACCGGAACCCCCTTTATAGGTTCCTAGTCAATAAATATTTATTTCTTGCAAATTCTATAACCAAGAATTTCAATCATCAAGTTGAACTTATTAGCAGTGAGGACTCCTTAAAATAAAAATTCAACTTCCTTCATTTGAGTCATCATCAACTTTGAAGAATAAACCTCATCCATTCAGAGAACATCAACTTTGGAGAATAAACCATTTTGATTTTAAGCTTTTAACTTTTCATGTTTCTTCTAAACTGAAGAATCATGACATCTTAATCATAATCCATGATTTAAATTTAAACTTTCTTTTCACTACTAATTGCCAGCCATACTAGATAAACTAGTAAACTTGTTGGCATTCAAAATTTTAACACATTCTCAATATGAGAAACTGTGTGTTAAATACATTCATAAATTTTTATGAATTTCATTATGCATACTTCATGCATAAAAGTTTCTGTATGCCTTTATAAGAAATATAACAGAATATTTCCTGGAATTTCTGCCTTTATCAGAAATATAACAAATATTTCAAAGTCTTCCTGCCTTAATCAGAAATATATATAACATAATATTTCACACTTTCACAAGGATAAAATTATTTGTGTGCTAAAATAATCAATAATTTCATGCATGACATTGAAATTATTTCCAACTTACAATCATTAAACATTGTAACCATGCATAAGAAAACAAAAAATTGATAATACCAAATTAATTCAAATTTGGCAGATTTATAGCACCTCAAGATCCAACATATTATACATGTATCTTGTATACTATGCATGCAACCGAGACAAAGTCACAATATAAAAATATTTATATACATGCATAAACATATCCTTGTATTTAACAGGCTATGCAAAATTCAAAAGAATCTCATGCATATCTTCTAGACATAATCCAGAACTTAACCAGTAAGTAAAATAAAACTTACGTACCTGCCAACGCCGAGACAAAGATATAAAAGGTACTGTACCTATCTCATCCTGTAAATTATATCTACCTTGATAATCATCATTTCCGGCCTTTGATACGCTGAAACCGCACACCCACTCTAGGGAAGTACACATCTTCTCATGCCAATTAAATCATTGCTAATAAATGATTTATTTATATAAAACCATTTTCACATCTCACTAATCATCTTGGCATAACTTGATACTCCATGATTTTTGTGAAGATGAAAATAGACTGCATAACATGGATCAAATCCATATGTACTGCATGCTCACGACCTGCCATGAACACAATGCAAACAGCTACACAGAAATCTTCTTGTACATAAACAAAGACAAACCCAAAAGTGATTTATGTCATCCTCACCACCAAATTCGAAAATCTCATTTCGAAATATTTCCGTGATAGGAAACTGTTCTTTCACGCCTGACATCTTGCCTTCAAAACTTTCAAGGCAAGATCAATTATCACAGGTTTGTAAACTTTAAAGCTTATAGTATAGATTGTTGGAAAAAAGGGCTTGTAATATGTAATACATTTGAAATACAACAAAATTACAGAAAACATCAGGGAACAAAACCGGATCATTTGATATCTTCAGGCGTGTAATCACTTTCCTATAAGCTTTAAATCTCCCTCTATAAAAGCAACAAGGTTCAAGATTTAATCTTATGGGATACAAGAAGATGAATGAAATTCTCAAGTTGCTTTGTTTGAGAATTTCCTGTTGAAATGCAATACTGTGGAATATCTCAGTCTTATGCAAGTTTATTGCATGTATATTTTTCAGATGTTTCTCCAATATTTATAGATGCAAATAAATTAGTTGGAGAAGTTTACATAGGAAGTTAATTTTTAAATTTAAAACTTAACTTCCAAAAAGATAAAATCTTATCTAAAATACATGGGAAAAGATAATTACATATAAAATATATACATGTAACTAATCAAAGTATGAACTTTCATATGCATACAATATTATTAAATAAATAATATCAATATATATATATATATATATATATATATATATATATATATATATATATATATATATATATACCTATGTTTTACTTGAGTGCATGTCACCATGCAAAGAATAAAAAAGGGATACACATATATATTCCATGCATACTGCATGCATAAGTGCATAACCACACCAAATCAACAAAGCAGATGTCAGTCGATTTGATGGACACTGAAAGCATTGATTCGTTTAAAACTAACGATTCGTTAACATCAACGAATCATGAAACTTCGGTTCCAAATCATTTTTCCCAACTTACTTTCTACCAAACTAAAATAAAATTTATAACTCCACAACTACAAATAATATTTAAGCTTTAATGGTAGTTCATCCGAAACATTAATCTTCATTACTATATAAATTTCCAACACGGGGCGCACAGTGCTATTTGCGACGTGATGCAGGGCATAACGATTGAATCCGTGCTAGTCTAGGTCCGAGATCAGCCCAGGCCTGAAACGGGTCAAGCCCGAACTTTTGGCACTTCTAATTGAAGGAAATGTTAAGGGGTGTTTGGTAAGATTGAATTGTAATTTCATTCCTACCAAACTCAATTGAATTTATATTCAACGGTTTGGTTGCAAGTATTAGGGTCCCCTAGAAATTACAATTTCATAGTTTGTGGAATTATAATTCAACAATGAATTATTATTTTGTCATTGTTATTATTATTATTATTATTATTATTATTATTATTATTATTATTATTATTATTATTATTATTATTATTATTATTATTATTATTATTATATAATGACATTTTAGTCTTTATTCACTTTTTCGCTTTCAATTTCCCGTCATTCTTTGAATTCCCATATTATTTCCCTCCCTTCCTTCCAACCAAACACTCTGTAAGGGTTGGCGGCAAATAGGTTGGTTGTTGCAACAAGATTGGTACATGATAGTAGGACTTATTGAGGAGTAATCTCAATCAAGATAACTAAAGATGCAAAAACTTATAACCACAAGGTCACGTGTTCGAACCCCGACTTTCTTGATTTGAACTCTCGTACTTTCGAGTAGTAGCTGCATTTTTTCCCAGTTACTCCAAACAAATAGGACTCGTTGACTTTTGGTACTCCAAACAAATAGGACTGTTGACTTTTGGTATTTCCATGTCCATATATGTAAGAATTGTAAGCATTAAACGTAAATTAAAGACTAAATCACATTACAGGAAGGACTAACTAATTGGTTTGATTGCAGGCTTTTAACGTCCTGATGTCCAAACGCGTTGTAGTGTTTTGTGCAAACTTGAGTTCACTACATAAATGGAGGTATACCTTAATCAAGATACACATATTCAAAACAAGATATCCATTATTAATGGCATTGAATTCATCCTTTGAAGCTGAATATGGCAGCTAACTCTTGATATCAAGAGTCAGTTTATGTTGTTCTCTCAACTATGAGGACAGCAGACGCTTCTCTTCCTCCTCTAGCCTTTTCAACCATCTCAATCCAAGATCACATCCTGCTTCTACAGCCATTTCAAACTGCTCCCTAGCCAGTTCAACCGGGTTAAGCTCGTCCTCTCCCACGTACTTTCTTAACACTCTCTTCGAAGGCCTCTTCGTATGAAATTTCGTTACTGCTTCTGGAACTTTGGCCCCTGCAACGCCCATTCCACAGTGGAGGATATGATTAGACAATCTCGACTTTAGAACGAAATACAAGTGATGATGACAAAGAAGGTACAATTGACTAGCTCTATGACTGCAATGAAAACAAGCGAGATTTGGTTGCCCTCTTGTGTTAGCATTACTGTAATGGATGGCGTAACTAAAGGCTAAATTGAGAAACGATGGGAATAAAGATTGGAATGGGTGAGAACAGTACGCTTGTAGATTAATCGCAAAAGGGCATAGTTTCTACCTTGAAGAAGAAGGGATCCGTATGCTATAGCAGCTCCAGGATGACCCTACAGACATTAAAAATATTTGTGGCAACAACTCACCAACTTGTGAAAGTTTGATTTCAATAAATGAGGGAATGAAATGTTTTATACCTTTTGTGACGCTCTATGGAAACACCATATTGCTGAATCAACGTCTTTCTTTACACAATCCCCAGTCAGAAATACAGCACCTAGAAGGTATAGTGCACCTGAATGCAACTGAAACTCGCTGTTTTAGCAATTTGAGGGCAGACACAGAGAAATAATGGTGCATAGTCGTTGCTTATTGAATTATACCTGATCAGCTGCCTTCTCTATATAGTAAAATGCTTGCTGATCTGATTGAACATAATCGTTCTGTCAAATTGTTGAAAGTTCTTAAAAATACGTCAAAATATAATACCATTACATATGCACAATGAGTGAATAACTTTACTTTAAGATGCCTTAAATCCCCAAAACAGGAACCCAGGCCCAAGCTATAAAGGAATAACTATAGCTGACATTGTGTCAAGTAATTCAATTAGAGGGTGTCAAATGTCAATGCATGAACACAGACTTTGAATATAAGTTTTTTTTTTTTTTTTCGTTTAACAGTGTACCCCCATGGAGCACCTTTCTCCCTTGCATAGAAACCATATAAGCAAAGACTTGCAGTCTTGCATGAATACCTTGGTCTTTAAAAGCAATTTCCTAGAGAGTTTGAGCTTGCATTAGTGTAATGAATCTGAATGGACATTACCTTGGGTCAATATTTTGATGCTTATGAGAGAACATGTTTGAAATTTTGGGACAATAGAACTAACAGATAAAATTCCAAGTACGCCCTCAAGTAACAAGAGAAAGTAGAGATAATGGGCCCTGTGACTGGTTATTCACTACCTGCATATCGTCAATGTGATGGACCAGCTTTGAAGTTTGATTTAATTCCCCAAGTTAGACAGTCTATATCTTGAAGATCCCCAGATTATGTCTTACATAATCCAGTTCTCGTCTTTCAAATGATAGTATTTGAAACATCAAACATGGATAAGATAAGCATAGGTGGCTAGGTGCATGATAGGCATTTGGAAAACTGGGAATAGTATGAAATCTCACCAATGGTACTTGAAAAGAACTTGACACTCACTAATTAACTGAATTGGACCAAATGGATTATATTCATTATCCATGACAAAATGAAAACAATTCCCCAATGAAAGAAAGCTAACCTCAACTCTCAAACGGCGACCTAATTCATACTGAGCATCTGGATCACCCATCTCCGCAGCTTCAACTAACAAAGCAACACCGCTATTATGACAAAGGAAAATGAACAAATATTAATTTTAAGTATATCAGCAAGTTGAATAATAAGAAGCCTGCAGGTTATTCTACATGCCAATTAACATTCAAATTAGGTGACAAAGATTATGCAATAGAAAATATGTTTTATGTTTACATGGTGAACAGATAAACTTCTTACATGGCTTTACAAGCACCAGGGGTATGGTACTTGAGATGCACTTTGGACAGCCAATATCTGGCTTGGGTATTTGAGTTGTCTGCCTCCAAAGCCAATTCAAATTTCTCCTTTGCATCCTAATGCAAATCCACCATATCTAAATATTTACATGCCCAGAGAGTCAGACCATAGAATATTATAAAGCACTCCAGACTAAAGCTTACACATAGGTAAGGAATGAGCCGGCTGTCACTTAGCTCACAATAATCAATCACTCTATCAACTTCCTTCAGAGCATTCCACCCTTTTGCTATGAACTCCGCTGCCTCCTTGTTTCTGCTGTGCAACCCCCTCTAGGAAAGCAATATAATTAACAATATTAATAAAGATGCATCCACAAAAGATAACGTTCAAGGCACAACATTACCTGTGGAATGAACTGGAAAAGATTATAGCCACGGTTTCTAAAAGCAGCCTTCAGAAGATATGATTTCAACATTTTCATCTGAGAGATAAGTGCAAGAAAACATGAAGTGATAATGTCACAAAATTGTATAAGGGAAACAGTGAAAGAATATTGCTCAATGAATGTATCAGTCACCAAACAACCACCAAAACATCAGCTTCATTATACTAATTACATATTTTGCAAAGACAACATCTAATAGTATCCAAAGTGCATTAAGTCTACATTGTTTGTTTGCTCTTCATTATCAAAAACTCATCCCCCTTTTCATCCATATCAATTTTGCATTTTGATTATTACACCAATTAGAATAGCATGGCATCTGATACTTTGATTAGTCAACAAAGTCTTGAACTTATGGGTGCACAACACAATCCATGTTGTAGAAGAAAACATGTAAAAGCTAAAAGCTTCAAACTTAGATACCCATTGTCCCCCGCACCAACCTCCAGAAAAAAAAAATCATCTGAGTAGAGGCATTTAGTTCAGATATATTGTTTGTCCACGTATATATAGAAATTGAATCCAATAATTAAAAAAAATCAATCAAACCTAAAACACAGACTGGATTAGTGCCCAAAATTAATTCCATAAAAGCACTTGTTAGTTGCCCATATACTTTTTCAGGGTAACAATTTGTATAAAATAATAGCACAACCAGCCAAAGTAAAAATCAGAAAAGAAAATCAAGAATTGTTAGAATACTATTCAAATTAAGCACCAACATCCACTGGAACGCAGTGAAAAAAAAAATCATGGCAATGAAGCCTCTCTTTGAGGCAATAACTCAAACACTTGGTGTGTAGTCCAAATGGCAGAAACGAAACAAGAACAGACCGCTAACTTTTCAACGTTACATATAATCATTTATCATCACACTACACTCACTTTTAAAATCTTCTTTTTAATTTAACAATTTTCAGTATGGGACTTTGAGATTACCTCTTAGGCGTCTGCAGAATGATGAAAAATAGAAGCTCGGCAGCAATGTTATACAATTGTTATCTTCTTCCTCTCAATTCTCTCTGCAATTTTCTTCTTCCTCCTGCAAAACTCTGATCTTCTTCTTCTTCCTCTTGCAATTCTGTTCTGGTCTTTCCTGCTTTTGTTCTTGGTTAATTAACATCCCCAAACAAAGAATAGAAATGCAAGATATATACTAAAAGGATATTATTAAAGCGATTCGATCAAATGCGGGGATAGCTCAGTTGGGAGAGCGTCAGACTGAAGATCTGAAGGTCGCGTGTTCGATCCACGCTCACCGCATATGTGTTTTGAGCTTTTCCCGGCGACATCAAAATAAAACTGTTTCTTGTTATATTATGCAAATTTGTTTATTTTATTATTAAATAACTTTTAAGATTTTGTATATTTAATATCATGTTTGTTTTCACATTAAGTAAATTTTAATATTTTGTAAATTTCTATAATATATTTATTTTAATTTTAATATTAAGAATTTATGTTTGTGCAATGTATTCTACAAAATCTATCTACATCTACATCTACATCTACATCTACATCTACATCTACATCTACAAAATTAATAAGAGCCAATAATTTTAAGCCCTTAACTAGAACAAAAAAATGTTGGTATAATTATTTCTTAAAATGAATGGTCCATATTATTTTGATTTTAATATTTTTTTAATGATTTTCCTTATTTACCCTCTATTATATTATTCACTTCCCTTAAATAACCCTAAATTCCGTAAGTATAAACTTTAATAGTGGAATATTCCGTTAACTATTTATTATTTTAACTTACTCATTAATTTTTATAAGAAAGGTCTTAGGTTCGAACCCCATCACAATTAAAATTGATATAATTGTTAAACTTATACTACGAATATGTTAAATTGTATTAAAAAAAATATAATATAAAATTTTCTTGCATTTAAAAAAAAAACAAATGAATGTTAATTTTTTTCGTTTAATTAATCTTATTTTGATTAATTAGAACAAAACTTAATATTTCAATTATATAATTTTGTATTATTGGAATGATTTAGGTCATTATTTATTAATATTTTTGTATGTATTTTTATTATGGTACAATTGTACATTACTTTACAAATATTATACTCTTATTTTTTTATCTAACACAATTTTCTTATATCATTGTCAGACCAGCGCGACCAAAATTTTATTAATGAATGAAAACTTCTAAAGAAAGTTGCAAGTTAATTTTTACTATATCATTATAACAATATTTATGTTGGTCCCGATAGGGTGGTGAAAGTCTAGAGGGGGGGGGGGGGGGGGGGTGAATAGACTTTCAAACTTTTTAACAATAAATAACTCTTTGGTAACTTCAACTCTAAGTAATAAGTAAATAGAGTAAGCTTGAACTGCACAGCGGAATAAATGTATGTAAAGAGTTATGGTCATAATTTGAATCACATGCACGTGTATGATAAACTTAGATGAGGTGTGAGGATGACATGAATATCTTGAATATTTAAAGGAGATGGTTCACTCAATATTTAACAATAATATTCAAGACTATAAATAAGATATCGTATCACGTCGACCGTATGACGAACATCACATGCAATACGTCAAACTTGCTTAGAATAATTCAAAGGTTAAGCTCGAAAAGTTTGAGTTACATGCATACGTGAAAACATGCTAAACCCGAAAGATTAAGATTAACAGTGAATAGTAAACGGGTTAGTCAGATAAGATAGATAGATAGAGCAAATTATGTAAGTGCGGTATGTAAATGAGAGAGGCTTTTTATAGTGGTTCGGAAGTGGCGTAATCTTCCTAGTCCACTTTACTCAATTCACTTCTAGGAGTAATTCACTATTTTCCACACACAGTTACAATAGTGAATAAGCGCTACACAAAGTAATTCACTATTTTCCTTCGTTGAGTTGTTTTACTTGTAATCCAAGAAAGTAATTCAACTCTCCCATCATGCTCATCTCAAACTTATTCTGCATTAGCTTGGAAAACTTCTCACATAAAGTTTTATTAGTACTTCTAAAAATTATATCATCAACATAAATTTGTACCAATAAAATGTGATCATTTTCTTGAATTCTAAATAAGATTTTATCAACAAGGCCTTTTGTGAAACCACAGTTAATTAAAAACGTTGATAAGGTGTCATACCAAGCTCTCGGTGCTTGTTTTAACCCATATAACGCCTTCTTTAATCTGTAGACCTTATTAATATCACCTTTTACCTCGAAACCAGGTGGTTGTTCAACGTAGACTTCTTCTTCAAGTAAGCCATTTAAAAATGCACTTTTCACGTCCATTTGATGGACAGTGAAATTCTTGTACGCGACATAAGCTAGAAATATTCTGATGGCTTCTAGTCTTGCAACAGGTGCAAATGTTTCATCGAAGTCTATTCCTTCTTCTTGTGAATATCCTTTTGCCACTAATCTTGCTTTATTTCGAACAACAATTCCTTCTTTGTTGGCTTTGTTCCGGAAGACCCATTTTGTTCCAATTACATTGTAATTTTCAGGTCTTGGAACTAATTCCCATACGTCATTTCTTTTAAATTGATCAAGCTCTTCTTGCATTGCATTAATCCAGTCTAGATCACTGAGAGCTTCTTCAATGCTAGTGGGCTCCACTTGAGAAAGAAAACAAGAAAATAAAGCATCTATAGTTGAGGACCTTGTTTTCACTCCTTCTCGTGGATCTCCAATTACTAGCTCTGGAGGGTGATTTTTGAGCCATCTCAAGTCAGGTTGTAGATTGCATGGGTTTTCAACGTTTCCTTGCTCAGTAGGTAAGTTGGAGGTAGACACATTTTGCTCATCAGATTGTTCTCCAACTTGTGCTTCTGCTTGAGAATTTTGATTTCCCACGTGTGGATCTTCATTTACTTCCACGTGTCCTTCACTATTGCAATCAATGTCCAATTGTTCCATACCCTGTACAACTTGATTCTTAAAAGATATGTCAGTATCATTAAATGATTTTTCAACTTGACAACTTTCCTGATCATTTTCTTTGCTCTGGGTTTCCTTTTTATGAGCTTCATCAAATATAACATGAATTGATTCTTCTACCACCATTGATTTCTTGTTCAATACTCTGAATGCTTTGCTGGTAGATGAATATCTCAAAAATATTCCTTCATCTGCACGCTCATCAAAAGTTTTTAGATATGTTTTACCATTCTTAAGAATAAAACATTTGATACCAAAAATATGGAAATAATTAAGTTTAGGTTTTCTCCCTTTCCATAATTCGTACGGAGTCTTATTGTAAGACTTGTGTATCAAGCTTCAATTTTGCGTATAACATGCAGTGTTGATTGCTTCAGCCCAATATCTTTTAGGTAGCTCGGCTGACGTAATCATCACTCGTGCGGCTTCTTTTAGCATTCTATTTCTTCTTTCGGCTACACCATTTTGTTGTGGTGTACGTGCGGCAGATAATTGATGTAGAATTCCTTGAGAATTGCAATAAGTTTGGATTACTTGATTCACGAACTCAGTTCTACGATCAGTTCGGAATTTTGCAATCTTCAAGTCTTTCTCGTTTTGTAGCATCTTAAGTAGTTCTGGCAACTTTTGCTCCACTTCATTTTTCTTCTTGAGAAATATTGTCCATGTGTATCTGGAAAAATCATCAACAACAACTAGTGTATATTTCTTACCACTTAGACTTACTGGGTCTACTGGACCAAATAGATCCATGTGTAGTAGACTTAGCGGTCTTGTTGAAGATTCTTGAGCTTTGGATTTGAATGATGACTTGATCTGCTTTCCTCTTTGGCAAGCGTCACATATTTGATCTTTCTTGTAAACAATATCGGGTAGACCTTCAACGAGTTTGTTTCTTGCTAGCTTGTTGATGGTATTGAAGTTTAGATGATTCAACTTTCTGTGTCATTCCCAACTTGTTGCGTGTGCGTTGTTTGCTAGTAGACATACTGAATCTTTTGTCGTGTTCCAACCAACCACATACATATTTTTCTTTCTTATTCCTTCGAGAACAACTTCTCCCGAGGAATTATCCTTCACTTGACATTTGTCTTTGAAGAATTCTACTTGATATCCTTTGTCACAAAATTGGCTTGTACTTAACAAGTTGAATTTTAGACCTTCAGCAAAGGATTTATTTCCAGTCATGTGTCTAGAACATCCACTATCGAAGTACCAAATTTTCTGCAAATAAATTACACATTTTTAGGTACCCAACTTGATTTGGGTCCTTGGGTGTTAGTCATTTTTGGTACCCAAATCCACCTTGTACTCACTGATCTAAGTCTAGGTGATTGGTAACCATTAAACACATTATAATCATATTTAATTTTTGAAAACATTTTTGGTGCCGGTTTTTGAAAATAGACTCGACTTTTTGGCACTTGGGAAGAAGATTGTTTGAGCCTATGATAGGCATTAAATCTGGACTTAGTCCATGGTTTAATATCATCAAACCAATCTTGTTTAGAGGGATAAAATCTCCCTACCCCAATTCTCGGATTCCTTCCTATCTTCCTATGAGGGCTTTGTGCACTAGACTCATTGGTGTGTTTCCATTTGGGAACAAACTTTTGTCTTTTTATATACTGTTTTGGCGAAATATTGTTTCTTTGAGGCTTCGACCTAATAGCATTAATTTTGACATTAGTTTGATAACCAATTCCTTGTCTCACTGTGCTTTCTTGACCTTTTACAAATTTTACTACTTGGACTTTATTATTTAAAGTAGTAGTAGAATTGGTCAATTTCTCGGAGGCCGGCTTGAGAACACGATGGATCATAACCAAGTCCGGTTTTATCACTTGAGGGTTTTTGCATATTTACCATTTTGTCCATTATTTTGGATGAATGTGTAAATGTTGCTATAACCTCTCTAAGGTTGTGTTCTCTCACTTCCCTTGATTTACACTCTTCTTGAAGACAAATAATTTTATCTTTCAATTCTTTCACTTCAAGTAGAGCATTTTGCAATTTTTCATTTAATTCATCTTTTTCAAGAATTAAAAAATTATTGCGCTCTTTGAGTTGAGAGTGAGTGTCCATTACGGTTTGACATTCTTCCATTAAGTGAAAGAAGGACTCTCTAGAGAATGAAGAATTTACAGAATCGTAAGAATTAGATGTTACCTCATTTTCCTCATTTTCAT